TTTGCCCATTTGGTCAAAGGCTTAAAATACATCTTAACATTTAATGTTGAGTTCTATATGTAAGTATGTGCAGAAAGACTCTTGTTCTTCTCAGCTTCTCTGGTTTCCTTTGCCTTTCATTCCATAATCCTCAGTAGACATGGGAAGTGTGACCTCGAATCCCCTCAGAAGCTTCGGGGCAGTCATTAGTAGAGGCTTAAGGAGGACTAAGATACTGTGGTCTTTGAAGCATGAATTTGATTAATTTAGACATCATGAATGACAAATATTAATGCATGGTAAAGGGCACCTATTATGCAAAATTCACTTTTGCATGTTGTTTGAACATAAATGTGTGTTGGCAGTGTGTGTGCACAACCACCCTATAATGATAAAAAAATCCACCCACTCCTTTTGTTTAATCCCCATAAATCATAAGCAGTGTCTCAGAACAAGCCGTTCGCAGAATCTGTAAAATGTTATGTCAATTTTTGCAGGCCCCACCCACAACTGTTGACAGGCACTGCTGTATTAGCAGAGACCCCGCCCTGAATGAAATGCACACAATCCGCCATGTTTATCTTCACGCTAGTGCATTTAAATGCAGCATTCAAATAAGAAATGCCTTCTTATTAAAGCTATAGAAGTTATTCAGTCAAGAGCAGTGAGTGATTTTCTGTATTTATTTTATTGTTTGGGTCAAATTAACAGCATAGACAGTAGTAGCATGTGATTTTCTGGATTTTTTTTCTCATTTTGTCTCTCATAGTTGAGGTATACCTATGATGAAAATTGCAGGCCTCTCTCATCTTTTTAAGTGGGAGAACTTGCACAATTGGTGGCTGACTAAATACTTTTTTGCCCCACTGTATTACGCTGCTGCCACTTAATACACCATTCTAATATAAACATGCGATTTCTTGCCCAGCTGTTTAACTTCACAGACATAAACGACTGTTTTTTAACTTAAACTTGTGTGTATTTGACAGTTTAAGAACAATAAGAGATGAAAGAGAACTTAGTTTAGTACTCACATGTCATGGGACAGCTGCTTTCTGTGCGTGTGCTTCGGATGTGTGCGCTCAGAAAATCGTTTATCAGAAGTTTAAACTGATATGGCTTTAAAACGCATGATTTCAGCATGATAGACAAGATAATAAAAAAAACAAATAGATGTTTTTGGCAGAGTATCTGAGATAGGAGCACAGCCCTATTCTGGAAAAAGGGGTGGGGAGCAGCAGCTCATTTGCATTTAAAGAGACATGCACTAAAACAGGTGTTTCTGCTTCCACTCAAAATAGGCATTTTCAAAATTATCTACTAAATGATCTGTGGGGTATTTTGAGCTGAAAATTCACAGACATATTCTGGGGACACATGAGACTTATATTACATCTTGTAAAAAAAGGGGGCATATTTGGTGCCCTTTAATGCATTTTTTCTATAAAATAAATTTGATCATGACAATTTTGTTTTAATGCTTTCTATAATATTCTATTTACAAATCAGTTTGAACACAGTTATAACACAATTGTCCATTTTTCTCCACTGTGTATTTTAAAGTACTTGCTTTCTGTTTGGGAAAGGACAGTGTTCCACAGTGGAGGTCACATCCCAAGGGTCCGCAGATTTAGATACACATGCATCTGATGCCAGCGCAGATCCCTGTCATAAAACCAATGGGTTTGTTATGGTACAAGATCACCAGAGATGATAAACCGTCAGAAACCCAAAGGAGAAAGAACAACAAGAAGACATAAACAATATCCTTTCCACAGCAACCTCAGCTTTCCTTATCATCCCTGGTACTTGTTAGTCTTTATATGCTGGAATAGATGGGAGAAACAATAAGATAATCATGTCCATCAGTCTGTTCCATTCATGCGTATTTCTTCAAATATAAAAGGTATGATTTGTATGAGTTGGACTGGAGAAATCTGAATATTAAAAGGTCTCAGATAACACTTCCCTCTCATCTCTACCCAGCCTGTCACTATAAATTTGTACTGTGAGGGATTGTGGACTAATCCAAAATGATCCTCATATAAACAGTGTTTAATAAAGAGTTGAACAAAGCCAAGTATCAGTTCACACTGTCAGAAACTTTTTATTTTCTAGTGGGAAAAGTATGAGGAAATTATTTTAGTCTGTCTCAATGAGTTGCTTACTACCAAACTACCAACCAGATGGTGGGCAATATTTTTACATATATAAGTCATTTTAATCTTCTCAGATATTGTGTTCCAAATTATAAACTATTGTCTAACGCTCCTTTTAATGATACCCAAAGAAATTCCCAAATTGGCTTGAATGCTATGACTGTTGCAGGCCTCAGAGGTATTTATGTTATGTGTTTAATAAAAATATTTACCCATAGTTCTTTGGGGCTTGTTTATATCAGCTGCACTGAATCTCGCTTTTCATCACAAGCCTTGGAAAAAACTGGACGTTTGTTAAAGCTCTTGCATTGCAATAACAGGAAATGACGTGCAAAATATGGCTCTGTCTGTCATAAACACAAGATAACAGTCAGATTTGAATTGCATTCTCATATCATTTGTGATTGTCCTTTATAACTGTGATGAAAATGAGAAGAAAAAATTTGTATTAAAAATGAAGGACTATTATGATTTTTTTGCATTATTTTAAAGACAATTAAACTCATTACTCATTTCATCACTGTAATGCAATGCTCATTACACTGTAAAAACATTTTTTGAAGTTGTAAATAAAGCTTATTGGAGACTTTAAAAAAATATATATTTCATTCTTTCTACTTCAAATTTGTACTTTTAATTGGCTACTGTTTCTTTGTAATTATTATTATTATTTATTTTCAATATACAATAATGACATTTGGGGGCTGGATGCATGCAAGCAGGAAACCTTTAATGAAAATGACGTGAGTTTCAAAAACAACCGAACTGCTTTGAGCTATTTAATACAACTACAAGAGAACAGAAATAGTGCAAGAAAACTGGGTATTATATTTAAGACTGGGGTTATTTTAGGGAATTATCACATTATGTTTGACCACTTGTCTAAGTGTATTGAAATTTGTAATTTAAAGACTGGGCCAGGTGCTCGGGCATTAAGACAGCCCTAAAAATACTCTGAGAAGCTTGTATAAGGAGCAGAAGGGCAGACTGAAGGATAACAAAGTATTCAGTGCGCTCAATATCCCAAAGAAACAAACTGAAGCTCCTCTTGCATTTATCATGGGATGCATAAAGGCACATCGAGCCTGTTTTAAAAAAACGTGACATGTGGCCAAGCATGGTGACCCATACTCAGAATTAGCGCTCTGCATTTATCCCATCCAAAGTTCACACACACAGCGGTGAACACACACCCGGAGCAGTGGGCAGCCATTTATGCTGCGGCGCCCGGGGAGCAGTTGGGGCTTCGGTGCCTTGCTCAAGGGCACCTCAGTCGTGGTAGCGAAGGTGGGAGAGAGCGCTGTACATTCACTCCCCCCACCTACAATCCCTGCCGGTACGAGACTCAAACCCAACCTTTGGGTTACGAATCCACTCTCTAACCATTAGGCCACGACTTCCCCACATTTATGACATTATAAGCCTTTATGATATTATGACATTATAAGCCCATGCAATGTTTTTGTTCATTCGTATCGTGCAGAAGTGTAGAAACAAAGGCACTTTTGAGGTCTGATAAGGCTCAGGCCATTATAGTGTAAAAAAGTATAGCTAAAAGTGTCGGGAAATATAAGAGTTTGAGTTATTCTGTCATCGATGACTCTTGATTCAACACTTTTCTGTGAGGCTGATGGATCTTTTATCCCAAATAACTTATTTAGGACAATACTGATGGAGTAACCTCAGGTCATCAGGGTCACAAAATGCCACTGAAAGTGACAAAAATGCCACGGAAATTAAAAATGTTATTATAATAGTTTTTTTATTACAATAAATGCCATAATATATATTCTTTTTAATTGCAAAAAGTTACTATAATTAATTATTTATTTTCTAAACTTTTTCGGGGAGACTTTCAAGCCTAGTTAATTATTCTATTTTGTATTAATTAATTAATTTGTAATGATTTTTTTTTTTTTAATAAATGGATGTGTATGTGATTTTCATCTATCTATCTATAGAGAGCTGGGTAAATTACTCACAAATTGTAGTCCGTTACTGATTTCAAATTACATGATAAAAATTGTAGTTAGTAACGTAATCCATTACGTTACAGGTAATGTAATCAGGTAATGTAATTACATTTTTCAGGTAATGTAATCAGACTACTTTCTGATTACTTTTAGATTACTTCTGACCAAACTTGTTTATCACATCGACTTAAATAGGATAATCTTGTACCATATTGATATAAAAAAAGAGAGTAAGAAAATAGCCTATATTACATTTGTTGTAATTAACAACATTAAGTGCTTTAAACATTACATTACGTCAAGGTTTCCCAAACTGGGGTTCATAAAGGAACTGCAGGGTGTTTGAGAGTTTTTTTTCTGGATGCGATTAATCGTTTGACAGATATATGTGTGTGTGTGTGTGTGTGTGTGATGTTGAATATTTCAAATATTGCCTCTCTGGCCAAAAAATAATAATAATATCACATCAGGAGCAAATATTCTCCTTTCTCTGGATTAAATCAAAGGAAAATATAATATATGATTTTTTAAAAAAAAAACAAGGAGCTGGGGGG